AGTCATATTTTAAAAATACTAATCATATTTTCCAGTGGCATAGTGCAGTGTCAGAAACGTCTCTCTCTGTTTTTTTTTTTTTAATTTGTCTTAAGTTCGTTTATTTTTTAGCTCGAGAGAGAGTAAGCAAGGGAGGGGCGCAGAGAGAGAGAGAGAATCCCAAGCAAGCCCCCCACTTGTCAGTGCAGAGCCCAAAGCGGGGGCTCAAACTCACGAACTGTGAAATCATGAACCGAGCTGAAATCAAGAGGTGGACACTTAACTGACTGAGCCATCCAGGTACCCCAAAAGTGTCTCTTCCTAATTTCTCATCAGTTTATCGTGGTTTCTAATACTTTGTTTTTTGTTTTCATACCCACTCTCTCAAGCAGTTACTGACTGTAAAGCACTTGGAACCATATCAGTAGAATACTTAAAGGTGGAAGAGGGTTTAGAGCTGTTTTAACACCTTTACTTTAAAAGTGAAGATGCTATATGTTAACTCACTCGAATTTAAATAAAAATTTGAAAAAACCCCAGTAAGTGAATAAAAATAAAAGTGAAGATACTGAGGTTTTTATGTATATGTACCTTATTTCAAGGCTGTAGTTATTCATTTGGAGACTCTTGCCATTTATAGAACTCATGAATGCTTCCTTTGGTAAGGCAAAGAATCACTCGATAAAGTTACCCACATTTGCATAATTTTTTTAAATTTATGCCAGTGATTTTCAACAGGGGTTGATTTTGCTACTCAAGGGGCCACTGTCTGGAAACATTTTGGTTGGCACAACTAAACTAGGTGCTCCTGGCATTCAAGTGGGTAGAGGAGAGGGCAGTGATGCCACGGAATAGCCTACCATGCACAGGATAGACTCCCACAACAAAGAATTGTCCAGCCCAAAATGTTACTAGTGCTGAAGTAGTGAGACCCTCTACTTTAGTTTTCTGTTCTTAAAAATGATAGTATCCACAGCACACGTATGTGAAGCTGGTATATAGACAAGTAACTATTGAATGGGCTGGCTGCTGGCTGGAAGTTCGAAGTAGAGTCAAAGTCCTCTCATCGAGGAGCTTCAGTTTCCTCGGTAAAATGGGCTCAGTGGGTGGGCAAAATATAAGCTCAGGTGCCAACTGATAGGGGGAAAGCAAGGCCAGCCGAGGCTTAACTAGTGGAGAGAAAGAGCAAGGTGTTGTGGTGATATGGACCTTACCAGATGAGTAAATTTGCTGTGTTAGTCAGGCTGCCTTAATTTGCTTTTGCTGCTGTCAGTCCATTGTCTGAGTGATTCCTGCCAGAAAGATATAAGGGAGAGGTCATTGAAAACGGGGGTGAGAAGTCCCTGGTCAAGGGCAGGTGCAAACCTGAATAGGAAGTGTGTCATGCTTTGTGGGTGCTACTGACCAGTGTTTGGTTTAGGTTAGTATTTGTTTTGTTTTCAGGGAAAGATGATTTTTGAACATGTGTATATTCATGTGCAGGTGATGCCAAATAAGGAAGGAGTGGTTAACCCTAAGAGGATATGACAAGAATGGAAAATAACTGATAAATTGGGGGATTGAATAAAAAATATCAAGTATACCCTACCTACAGAGAAACCACGAACTTCTAAAAATGCAGTTTATTCTGTGACTAGTTAAATGAGTAGTAGGAAGAAAACTGACCAGGAGTACGTACACATTCTAGTACTTTAAAATCTCTTTAACCCTGGAATTTTTCAGAGTATGTGTTTCAACTATCAATTACTTATTTTAATTCTGCCAGTAAACTATTTCTAGGGTGAGGGGTAATTCTGAGCCTTGAAGTTTAAGGGATGTATAAAATTTAAAGGTAATTCAGAAGATGATTACAAAGATGAGTAAAGGAAAGTAAAAGGTAAAGATAGTTTAGAAATATTGAAATCATTAAATTTTATAAGATTTGAGAAATTAGTGTGTAACTTGAAACGAAAATAAGACTTAAGCCTCATTTATGTTATGAGGAGTTCCATTTAGAAATATGGAAGAATTTCTAGAGAAAAAATGATTATTAAACATATTGTAGAGAGCCAGGGAGCCATCTTCTGGCAAGCCTGAGTAGTTAAGGGAATATAGAATGCTGCATTTTGGTCTTGGTGATAAGATCTCTGGTAATAAGACTGAGCTCATATCTGGTGGTTACGTGATACTGACCTTTGGAAATAAGATGACGTATGTAGCTACATGTTAAATGCTCAAATATATATACTCAACATTTGTCTTCCTAGGATGCTTTTCTTCAGGGCCTCAGTGACAAATGCCTGGATATTGTCAAAACGTAGCTAAAATATTACCTCCTCAATGGAGTCCTTTCAAATTCCTTCCAACTAGAGATATCCCATTCTGTGCTTCTAGGTATGCTACATACCTCTTTTAAAGCATTTATCATATTGTGTGTGTTCAAGAGAATGTATCAACATTTTATTTTTAATTCCGTTTATTTAATTTTTTTGAGTAAGTAATGCATTCACATGATTCAAGTATGTGTAATGCATTCAAGTATGTGTAAGTAATGCATATCACATGATTCATACCTCGGTCTCCCATCTACTGGTTTCCCCTCCCATGTATACACAAAGGTAACCATGTTATTCTAATTTCATTATGAATCCTTCCAAATTTATGGGTGCATAAGCAAACAATATATATTCGTATTTTCCTTTTTATCAAAATGCTTTCACATTATGTCAATATGTTTATTAAGATGATGGCCAACAAATATTTATTTTTTTTTTATTTATTTATTTTGAGAGAGAGTGTGTGCATAGGGGAAGGGCAGAGAGAGAGGGGGGTAGAGAGAGAATCCCAAGTAGGCTCCATGCTCTCAGTGCAGAACTTGAGGTGAGGCTCAGACCCAAAAGCTGTGAGATAATGACCTAGGCCGAAGTCAAGAGTTGGATGCTTGACCGACTGGGCCATGCAGGCATCCTGATCAAATATTTATTTAAAAAATGAGTATACTGGTAAAACAGATTTTTTTCTTTCTTTATCGTGGGGGTCCTCCTGTGGCTTCACCCAACAGAGGTAAACTAGATTGGGGCCACAATTGAAAATCCTTACCTATCCTTTTACCGCAGAAGAGTAGAGTGCAGTCCGTAAACTGCAGTGCTGGCTTTCAAAATTACTCTGATCTCTCCAGAAAGCAGAGGTTCTTATCAGAGTAATGCAGTTTAACCAACATTATGAGAAAATACAAATTCTCTTGGCTATGGAATTAATGATCTAGACAGAACATCAGATTTCTTGTCAGTCTCATGTGACTAAAAGGACTCAGATGTAAATATGCTTAATAATAAAAATAGTCTTATTTCTATGTGTCAGTGTTTTGAAAGAGTTGCGAAAGTAGAGTTTTTAAAAGTAATTTAGATCGTTTAAGTAGAAAAATCTCTTCCTACTGGTACTTCCTGCATTAAAAAAAAAAAAAAAAAAAGATTCAGAAAAAATGACCTATGTAGTAGGATCCAGAAACTTCTGACAGGTTCAATCAATTCATGTCAGGCGGGAAGTAAATCATATAAGATAAACATATTTTTCCTTAGAAACAAATTATGTGGGGCAATTTTTCAAAAGCTGTGATCCTCTTAGATAAAAACAAATTGTTTTACTTGATAAATGACATTCATCAAACTGCCAAGTATGTGGTACACCGAAAATAGATTTAATTTACTTTTATCTGTGCGTTTGTTGGTTGTTCTAAGATAAAACAAATAATTACAACTAAGTAGGAAAGACAGATGAAACCCACTGATGTAAGTGATCAAGCAAGGACATCAGTGATCCATTGCAAACTGTAATGACTAGATTTTTATTTGGCACTTGATAAGCAGAGCTCATTTTGAGGTATAAGTCAAGTGGTTTTTAGGTGTTTTGTCTTTCCAGAAAGTATTAACACTAGCAATGGCATAGTAAGAAATATGATGCTGAGTCTTAGAGGCTATGAAGTCTAATCTTGGCTTTGTTGCTAAAAAGCTGTGGATTTCATTCAAGTCCTTGACCCCTGACTTTCAGTCTTAAATGAGGGGATCAGATGGTAATTTGCTGCGTGTTGTTAAGATCCCTTTCAGCTTTGAAATTATTTTGGTAAAATAAAGAAAATAAAAAGAATAGTCATCTGGCCTCCTTAATCATGATTATTTTATGATAGTTGAGTGAAGCAGAGGTAATTGTGGTATCCCTGGTTGATTGAAAATCAGAACATAAAAGATTTGAAAGCCTTCATTTAAGTGGTTTAGTTTTTGTTTTCTATAAAACAAGGTCACCTCAACAATTGATATCTACCAGTTTACTGCTTGGATATTTTGTTGGCTTGTCATTCTTTTCTCCTCCTCCTCCTCCTTCTTTTTTTTTTTTTTTTAACTCTGTTAACTTGCTGAGGATTTTATTTTGACCATATGATGTAGCATCTTTGGTGGTCAAAATACAATGTAGATTTGTGAGTTGGTTGCCATCCTGAAAGAAAATAACTGTTAAATATTACTGTGTTGTACATACAAGTGAAAGTCTTATACTTTCATCATTTTGCCGTTTAAATTTGGAGTAAGCAATAATCTTTTTATGTATTGACCTAGATTAGATTAGATAAGAAAGGTATAAGGTGTCTTTCTTTGGGTTGTTAGCGTGAACATTTTATTTATAATGTGTAATATAATAAATTCTGAATAATTTTGATTACTTTGGAATATGATGACCTAAACAAAACTTGGGTTTTTATATGCTTTCTAAAGAAATTAACCAAGATTTTAGAAAAAAGTATTCAGAGAAGTAGAGAAAAGCTCAGTGAAGTGGGAGACAAACACCTGGAGAAGAAATGGCCCAGCAATTTTCAGAATGAAGCTTCCTTGTTTGAAACATCGACCATCTATTTATTAGCCTTGTTTTTCTCCTCAGACCTGAACAGAAAGCTCTTCAAGGAAGGGGCTGTTATCTTCAAATATTAACTGATACTCTCTTTGATGTTATAGTATTATTATCTGACGACTTTTCTTTTCTAAATCACTGTACAGACTATCATGAAGAAAAGAAAGTCTTAAATGGTAAGTCATATAAATTTATGATAAAAAATGGATCGTATTCTTATGAATTACATTCATATACAGAATTGTTTTACAGAATTATTTGGGGTAGTATTTGGATTCTTTTTTGTGGGGGGAGGATATTTTTTATACAAAAGATGTCTTTGCTTACCTAAACTTAGAGGCTTTGGCAGAACTTTATAGATCCCTTACTCCAGCCATTACTCTTAGAGTAACTAGTCCCTCCTGGAACATCCCTGAACATGGCGATCATCTGCCTGCAGCTTGAATATTTGTTAGTGATGAGGAGTTCCACCCTCAGAAGCAAGACAGAACAAGTCATATCCCCCAGGCATGGAGCTGAATGCCAGTGTTTGCATATAGATGCTGAATAGCCTATTACTACTCTTTCCAGGCTCAACAGCTCTGGCTTCTTCAGCCATTCAGTATGACCGAGAATTATGACTGACATTCTCCCCTCCCCACCTCCAATCAATCAATCAATCAATCAATCAATAAATACATAAATACATACATACATACATACATGCGGTGTAGTGGTCAGTATTGACTCTTAGGAAATGCCTGGGGCTACATTGGTTGAACTACTTGTTTAAGGTATGTTTTTTTTTTCCCCCTCTATATTTATTTATTTATTTATTTTTATTTTTTTCAATAGATGAAGTTTATTGTCAAATTGGTTTCCGTACAACACCCAGTGCTCATCCCAAAAGGTGCCCTCCTCAATACCCATCACCCACCCTCCCCTCCCTCCCACCCCCCGCATCAACCCTCAGTTTGTTCTCAGTAAGGTATGTTTAGAAATAGGTTTTTTTCTCCATGTTTGCAAAAGAAAGTTATAGAAACTCAGCTATAAGCTAGATTGCCAGATTAGTTACCCTTCCTTTTTTAACTTGAGGAATACCGTCGTCTGTATTGTAGACTGACTTATTTCAGTTTTTGATGTAACACCTGAAGCTTTTTGTCTGATAGTATAGCACTCTCTTAAATGAAGGGCCTATCTTGGGTTCCATATAATGATTGACTCTTTTGTGATAATAGGCATAAAACCATTGCTTAAAGACTATTACTGATTCACTGGGCATTTCCATTCCCACCACATATGGCTTCCAGAACCATTAGTTCCCTGTTGCCCTCCTCTGGATGCACTGCATTTAACTAATACCTCGGTTCAAGGTGGCCTTAAGAATGGAATATTAACACATGTCCCTAAGTGTCTGTCTGGCACAGTTACCTATCATGATCTTGTATTCTATAAGATTGTGATATTTATATTTATATTTATATTTATATTTATATTTATATTTATATTTATATTTATATTTATATTTATATTTATATTTATTAGCTGCTTCTCATTTTGGTTCATTCAAGACTATGTGGTAGGTCTGTGTATTTGCAGATGTGATCTGTCTGCCAGAAATGTCGTTATTCAAATAACTATTTTAAATCCTGAATGAGATAGATTACTGTGGTATTCCACTAGAGACCTGATCCCTTCAAATTAACAACAGTCATCAAGCAGCACTTTGGGGAAAGAAAATATCCATTCAGTCCACCTAACTTTAGTTAATTATTTTACTCCACCCCTCATTCACCACAGATTCCTTCAACTTTTCTAGAATGATATTATATATAAGGTGTTTTATTTTGCTTGGCAGATGTTGAAATCAAAGCACATTCCACAGCCTATGACATTATTCTGTTCTAAAAAGACATATTTGTATGACATTGTATAGTCTTTTAGAATGTTTGGAAATTGTCTCCTTTGCTGTCTCATGAGATTGCAGGGCAAATTTCTTTACAAGTATGAATTTGAGGAAGCAGAAATGGTGGTTTTTGTAAGATCACAGTGCTGATACTGACTTCAAATCCAGATTTCTTGGTCCTAATCAGGTCCTAATAAGACCCTAATAAGATCAAAATTGAGTAACAATCTGTGAATCCTGTTGATAGCTTTTTCTTATGCAAAGTCTTAGATCGTGATGCATTTGTTTTTTATTTATATATCTAAGAGGCCTCCATATGATAAATGACATTAATCTCATAGTGAAATATCTTTTTTTTTTTAATTTTTTTTTCAACGTTTTTTATTTATTTTTGGGACAGAGAGAGACAGAGCATGAACGGGGGAGGGGCAGAGAGAGAGGGAGACACAGAATCGGAAACAGGCTCCAGGCTCTGAGCCATCAGCCCAGAGTCCGACACGGGGCTCGAACTCCCGGACCGCGAGATCGTGACCTGGCTGAAGTCGGACGCTTAACCGACTGCGCCACCCAGGCGCCCCTCATAGTGAAATATCTTTTAAGTGATTTTTCAAATAATTTATTAAGGTTATCTTTTCTTATTTTTTGTCATTTGAGATAAAAATACATTTTCATTTTTTTTTAAATTTTTTTTAACGTTTATTTATTTTTGAGACAGAGAGACACAGAGCATGAACAGGGGAGGGGCAGAGAGAGAGGGAGACACAGAATCTGAAACAGGCTCCAGGCTCTGAGCTGTCAGCACAGAGCCCGATGCGGGGCTCGAACTCACGGACCGCGAGATCATGACCTGAGCCGAAGTCGGACGCTTAACCGACCAAGCCACCCAGGCGCCCCTACATTTTCATTTTTATAGTCCTGTTGTTATACTTTTAGTTTTCTGGTAGAGCATTCTTCTTTAGGATTGACTCCTAGTTAGTTCATAACTGTGGCTTTGTTATGTCCCATCTTTGAGACTTCTTTTGTTTATCTGAATATTAATTATGTTCTGTAGAGTTGCATAGGAAGAGATGGAAACTGAGTGAGTAAGGTCTAGACTCAGGGCTCATGATCAGCCTCATCCCCCAAAATATGGCTGTTTGATATCTTGTGCTTGCACTTAAGTTGGATTTAAACAGAAGCTTCTATGGCTGGAAAGAATCTTGAAACCTCTACACTAGTTTGTCTCAAAGATGCCTCCCCTCTCTGATTTTATATTACTGTGACTTTCTTTTAAAGTTTTTAATGTTTATTTATTTTTGAGAGAGAAAGAGAGAGAGAGAGAGAGAGAGAGAGGAAGCAGGGGAAAGGCAGAGAGAGAGGGAGACACAGAATCTGAAGCGGGATCCAGGCTCCGAGCTGTCAGCACAGAGCCCGATATGGGGCTCGAACCTACAAACTGTGAGATCATGACCTGAGCCAAAGTTGGTCAACCGACTGAGCCACCCAGGTGCCCCATATTACTGTGACTTTTTAAAAAAAATTTTTTTTTAATGTTTATTTTATTTTTGAGAGAGAGACAGCATGATCAGGGGAGGGACAGAGAGAGAAGGAGACACAGAATCTGAAACAGGCTCCAGGCTTTGAGCTGTCAGCACAAAGCCTGACACAGGGCTCGAACTCACGAACCACGAGTGAGATCATGACCTGAGCCGAAGTCGGACGCTTAACCAACTGAGCCACCCAGGCGCCCCAACTGTGACTTTTGATGTGAGACCTCCAGGATTCACCAGAGACGAAACATTAAATTTGTTTTCCTGCACAGTTTGAGGAATAGAAATGTAATTGTTGCAGTGATTTGCAACAGGCCTTTTGGCAGCAGGCCTCTTTTTTTTCCAAACCAATCCTTCCAGATACCAACAGCACAGTCCTGTTGTGGGAGGGAAATACAGAATGCTTTACAGAATCTCTAGAGTTCTTCCACATCTTTGAGTTCTCAACTAAAAATCACAGTTTTAGTGGGCTTTTAAAATGCTGTGTTGCTGCATGCTGACAGGATTGATTTCAGTGAGATTGTGTAGTGACTGGAACCCTCAGACATTTCTGGTATTAAATATAAATTGGTACAACCACTTTGGGAAATTGTTAAGCAGCAGCTAGTAAAGCCAGATCTACACACACCTTGTATACTTGCAAAAATGCGGATATATGTTCTTTAAGAATGTGCAGGTACATATACAAGAATATTTATAACAGTGCTATTTATGTATAATAGCCCAAGACTGCAAACAACCCAAATGTCCAGCAACAGAATGTATAAACTCTCATATTTGTACAATGTAGTATAAATACAAACTACTGATGCATTCAACAGCATGGGTAATAGTTCAGAAGCCTCAAGGTTTGATTTATTGCTTACTATCAATCATACTTATTTGACATAATGCCAAACAAAAAAAGCCTCAGACCAAAAGAGAACACATCTTATGATTCCATTTTTATAAAGGTCAAATACAGGCAAAAACTAAGGATGCTAAAAGTCAGAATAATGGTTACCCTTGGGGGGAGGGGTGGTGCTGGCTACAAGGTAAGTTTTTGTACATCTATGATTTGTGTCCTTTTATACCATTTTAATAAGAATTTTACTAAAAAGAAGAAAAAAAATAAATGCTATCTAGATGAACGGTAGCTGTTTTGTTTTTCTTTGTGAAGGCATGCTTCCCAAGAGCCAAGTGGCAGATACATTTGCCAAAGAAGGTTGTAGTTCTCCAAGGTATGGATTCTTGTTGTACTTTTTAAAAGCTAAATTACTTCTACACCAAAATAGACACATTAAAAAAAATAAACAGCTCTGAGTTTGAGTTCATGCTTACTGTATTAATCATGGTTCTTTGACATAAGAACTGTAGTGCTCATTTATCAGGCATTGTTGGAGAATGGGCTGTTTTCTGTATGTGTGAATTTTTAGTATAACTAAAGTTTGATCCATTTTAAACACTTATGTGTAAATATTTGTGTTTAAAAAATTTTAAGTTAAAAAATTTCAAAAATATTTTTGACTTTAAAAACTATTTGAAAATTTTTTTCTGATTATAAAATATGCATTCATGGTGGAAAACTTGGAAAATCTAGAGAAATAGAAAAGAAAGTGATAAAATCAGTTGTAATCTATCAACTCTGGATGTATACTTAATATTTGGTCTTTTCCACCCAGCTTGATTCATATAATACCTATTTCCATATTATTCTATTTTGATAATGCTGGCATTACAATGTATTTTATGAGCAGTATTCCTGTGTCCTATGTCATATTCTGCAAAAGCCATTTTTTTGTCTGCCTTCCATCATATGACCATACCATAATTTATTCAACTACATTGTTTTTCATATATTTAGTTTGTTTTACTGGTTTTTATGGAAATCCTTCAAAATGTATTGCATGGCAACTGTCTTAGTAAATTACGTGATCTCTATATATTTTTGTTAATGTTAACATTTCAAATGCCCTCAGGGTTATATGTATTCTTTGTAATTTTTTTCTCTTCCTTTCTCCCCACTGCCAGTCTATAATATAATAGCATCCTGCTATATTTGTTAAATTTATTAAAGTATTTCATATACAGTTTTAACTTACAGGCATAAGGAAATCTCTAGGATTTACCCCAGGGTGTCCTTATGTTTATAATAAGTGCAAAAACAGTATCAGTTTAATGAACATCTATTACAAAATGGAAGACTTGGTTTTACCTTAACTTTTACTGTTGAACCATTAAAAGATCTTGATGAATTATTAATCTTGATAATAATATATTTGTGATAGGGAGGAGTGAAGGTAATAAGCATGTAGATTTTGTCATGCTTCTTAAGAAAGTATGTTGTGTTACTGCTCTTATATAAAAGATTTTAATATAATGTGTAACCTTTCTTTTATATATTTAATATAATGTGTATCTTTTCAAGGATATTGTTTGTTTCAATCCAAGTCGGAATAATTACCCCCTAATTGTAAGACCTACCCCCATTATTTAGAACAAAGTTTACCTAGAGAAATATATTTTTCACTATAGATTTTAAGCTGCATATTTAAAATCATATACTTATGTTGTCATATTGCATATTTTTAAGCCATATATTTTTAAAATCACATATTTAATGACTTAATATGTGTTACTGTACAATTATTGATATAATTATTCATTCTTTTAATATTTTATAGCTATGACTGGTTCCAGACAGACTCTTCAGTGACTATTGTAATATATACTAAGCAGAAGGTAAACAATGTCTTTAAAATCAGAAAAAAAGTGAAGTCTTAATAAATGCCAGCTATTTTCTAAGCACTCTTTTTATATTATTAACTTATTTACTCACGGTAACTCCATGGAGTAGATCCTTTTGTTATCCCTATTTTATACATGGGGAAAACAGAAAGATTAAGTAATTTACCCAATGTCACACAGTAAGTGGCAGATCTAGCAGTTTGAACCCAAGCAGCCTGGCTCCAGAGTATATACTCTTAACAGCCATGCTATAGCGTCTTAAAAAAAGCTAGACTACAAAGTATTTTATGTACTTTTCCACGCACACACGCATCTGTGTGTTTGTGTGTGTGTGTGTGTGTGTGTGTGTGTAAGCATGGATAACAAAAGTGAGAATCCCAGTTAACTTCATTGTAAGAACTAATTTCTTGTGCATAAATTGGAATTTGAAGGACAGTAGAGACTATGATACTTGGTCTAGTATGCTTAAAACACTAATGGGATTCAGACACCCTCTTGAAACTAAAATTAAGGGGTTAATTGATTTACTAAGTACGTATTGAATTTCTGCTTTATTTGCAGCATATTTTAGAATTCAGGGATCTAATGATGGGCTAGATATGTACATACTTGGCTTTCATGGGGCTTGCATCTGAGAAATCAGATCAGTACACAGACAACTTACAACATCTGCAAACACATCCTTCAGCAACTGGCAAGGTTCTCACACTGGAGGAACCATGTAAATTTAAAGACAAGTTCTGGCAGCTAGGGATTTCTGAGAATGCATGCACTTCTGCAGTAGCAGAACCACAGATGAGCTGTGAGTTCCTCTGACTGTTACGGCATGATGTGACAACAGGAGTGATGGTAATCTGCTTGATACAGCCAAGAGGATCAGAGGCAGTGCCTGAACCGCTTCCACTCTTTCTCTTTATTGTCTCCTCATCACACAGTCCAAAACCAAGAGGGCATGGCCCAAGGAGGTTGGGGTCTGCTCCCATTGGTAATGTCAATGAGGCACAGAGGATGAATGATTAAGGGAAGGGGGAAGATTTCTATGTAGAATAATGCGTGCATTATACAGTATACATGATAGGTGCCACAATAACTTGTACCAAGGCTATGTAGAAATTAGAGCTGTCTAGAAAGCTGAAGTCAAGAGGTTGTGTAATTTGCACAGCATCATGCAGTAGTAAAAAGATTAAAATGAAGATACATATCTTGATTTCTGGTCTGATTCTAATTTTTTACAGAGTATTTATTCAATAAATATTTACTGAGCACTTACTAGGTACCAAGCAATATTCTTGACAGTCTCATACATTCAGAGCTTAGAGATGAGTGGGTGAGGTAGATATTAAACAGAAACAAATATATAATTAAAATTGCAATATGTGCTTTGAAGGAGAACTAGGTTGTATGAGAGAGAAAAAACAGGAGTAATATTTATTCACCTTGTGGGTTCTATAAAGAAATGCCTTATGGGGGTGCCTGGGTGGCTCAGTTGGTTAAGTGTCCAACTCTTGATCTCAGCTCAGGTCATGATCTCACAGTTTTGTGAGTTAGAGCTCTGGACTGACAGTGTGGAGCAAAAGATAGATAGATAGATAGATAGATAGATAGATAGATAGATAGATAGATAGATAGTTCATAGATAGATATGAACATCCACTGATCATCTTAAAAGTATAGTAGTTATAGAAATTTGGGGCAAATTTTACATTTTAATCTTTCTCTTTCTGCTTTCTGTTTAAGGATATTAATCTAGACTCAGTAATAGTTGATCATCAGGATGATTCCTTTAGAGCAGAAATACTTATCAAGGATTATTCATATATTATACACGTTGGTAAGTACTTTATTCTTTATTAATGGAAACAACTCCAGTTTCCCTTGCAATAAACTTGGTCTGCACTCTAGGTAGCAAAAATATTTTATCTGATGTTGTCATTTTGTTTTGTCATTTTTGATTTATCTTTTTTCTATTTTTTTCTTTACACTAACAACAGTGCAGGCAAATGGCAGCCTGACCTCACCTTTCCCAAGTTTAAACAATTCAGTGCAATCAAAGTCAGTAATGATATGAAATATTTGTTGCCCTGGCTTTGTTAAATGTCTTTTACTTGATATCTGCAAACAAATCTCTGGAGACCTGTCCCATGCTCCTAGAACAGCCATCACTAAGTGCTCATTTCATTGGCCTGTTTTTTTTGCCAGCTCCACCATGAGAAGTGCAAGGCGGCACCAAAACAGCGTGGACTGTAAAGTTGTATTGTATCCCTCAGCTGCCTGTTCCTTCATAACCTGTTCCTTCATAACCTACAATTCACTCTGTCTGCTTTGAGAAATTAAAGATCAAAAGAAAGAAACCAGAACTAAAATCTGGAACCAAAGATGCCAGGTTTAAAAAAAAAATTTTTTTTAAACATTTATTTATTTTTTGAGAGACAGAGAGAGACAAAGTGTGAGCAGGGAAGGGCAGAGAGAGAGAATCACAGATTCCAAAGCAGGCTTTGGGCTCTGAGCTGTCAGCACAGAGGCTGATGCGGGGCTCAGACCTACAAACCATGAGATCATGACCTGGGCCAAAGTCAGACACTTAACAGTTTGAGCCACCCAGGCACCCTAAAGATGCCAGATTCTAAATCTACATTTCACCCATAATGACTCTAGGATTTCACCCTTTTCTGCTCCAATGAAGGCGATATTGTTCTAGTTAGAAGATAGAAAAGAAACAAACAACAACAATAAGAAAATTATGTTTTAAGCAGTCATTCTTTTAAAAAAAATTTTTTTTAGTGTTTTTATTCATTTTTGAGACAGAGACAGAGCATGAGCAGGGGAGGGGCAGAGAGAGGGGGAGACACAGAATCTGAAGTGGGCTCTAGACTCTGAGCTGTCAGCACAGAGCCCAACGCAGGGCTCGAACTCAGAGTGTGAGATCATGGTCTGAGCTGAAGTCGGACGCTTAACCACCTGAGCCACCCAGACACCTCTTAAGCAGTCATTTTTATATGAAGAACATCATTTACTTTTGCAAAACAGAGACTGATTCTCCAGACCTTGGGTGACTCGGGATTCTGTTTGCTGCCTTACTGTATTTTTTTTTCCTCTTTCCTTTTTTTAATTTTAGTTTTTGTTTTTTTTTAATTTACATCTAAATTAGCATATAGTGCAACAATGATTTCAGGAGTAGATTCTTTAGTGCCCCTTACTCATTTAGCCCATCCCCCCTCCCACAACCCCTCCAGTAACCCTCTGTTTGTTCTCCATATTTATGAGTCTCTTCTGTTTTGTCCCCCTCCCTGTTTTTATATTATGTTTCCCTTCCCTTATGTTCATCTGTTTTGTCTCTTAAAGTCCTCATATGAGTGAAGTCATATGATATTTGTCTTTCTCTGACTAATTTCACTTAGCATAATACCCTCCAGTTCCATCCACGTCGTTGCAAATGGCAAGTTTTCATACTTTTGATTGCCGGGTAATATTCCATTGTATTTATATACCACATCTTCTTTATCCATT